TGCTGGACCTTGAATTCCCACCAATATGTCTGTCTTTAGCAGACATCTTTGCACTTGTCTTTTTTTTTTTTTTTTTGGCTTGTACATGCAGCACAATGATTGAGCTCCCATTTAAGAGCCACTCATTGTAATAGAAAATAGATCCCCCCCCAAAAAAAAAAGAATAGAAAGGAACAAAGTCCCTGCCCCCACGGAGCGTACTGTTCAGTTGAACTGCTGTACGACTTGTTATACTATTATTTCCCATATGCTAGGGCTGACTCTTGTCTGCATCTCTAAACTCCCCAAGAGCAATGAACTCTGCTTGGGTTTTTCATGTTTCCAGAGTCATGAATGTTCAATGGTAAGTAGTTGTTAAGAACTCAGAAAAAACCCAGTTCTTCTCCCATTCCTAAAGTTTACGAGCTACATTTGCTTCTATTTCTTCATTTATAAACTGGGAATAGTCATGTCTACTTCTTACAGTGTTGAAAGGGCTACTTAAAAACTGTAAGTGCCTGGCATTGGTCCATGCATGTACTAATCACTTCAATAAATGTTAGCTGTGATTCTTATTAAGCAAGCCTGTGACACAGAGTTTATAATATTTTTTCCTGGAACTTTGGCCTCGAGGCAGCACTGGGAGGCTTTTCCTGGTGGGCGAGATCCTGGCATTGTGCTGTCAACCCTCCCACATTTGGTCCAACCTGAGCAGGATGGGAGGAGTTAAAGGAGAAAGCTGCTCTGAGTCAGAACATCAACAATGCATTCAAGACCCGCCTGGCTTGCTCTGCGTGGGAATGTGGATTTCCACATACATTTTTGGTGCTAAGGACGCTGTCCCTGGCTTGCTTCTTTTCCTGACAGTCACTCAAGGCAGACTGGAGGCTGGAAAGAAGGAAAAAATCTCCATTTACTGACTGAATGCTACGTGCCAGCTGCCCTATATACATCCTTCATCTTCACAACATCCCTGCCAAGAAGGTGCTCTTACTCCCATTTTATAGATCAGAAAACTGAGGTTTAAAGAGTTTAAGTAACTTGGCAAAGTTGCACAGCTAACCCAACACCAGTCAGAGACCTTTGCCCTTTACATCCAATGCCCTTTATTCAGTAACTGAATCCGTGGAAGTTCTGGCCTGGTTTGGCCTGAGATATCTGCCTTTCCCCCTTCTACAACGACCCAACGCGCTCTACCAGGTCCGTGGCAGAGATGGCGGTTCCACAGCTAGCATGCTCCTCCTTTGTGCTAATACAATGTGATGAGTGAGCTGCTTGGTGCAAAATGTAAGGAGGCAAGCACTCCCTAGCTCACATTCGTGTGGACCACATTTTGTTTGTGCTGACACCAGCCCTGTCCCTCCCACTCATTGTCCCAGTGTCCAGCTACCAGGATTTGCTAGAGGAAACCATACACACCAAGACCTCTGTCACCTTGATAATCAGGACGGGCCAGGAGGTGGCTGGCAGACTGTTGGGCAGCCTCACCATTCTCAGATGGCACATCACCATTTCCGTGTAGCTTCTTCCCTCCAAACTCTTCCCTCTCTTCCAAAACTACCTTTCATGGTAGTTTCTCTCCAAAACCGTAATACAGCCACACAAAAAGGAGGGGAGACCACTGAGACCCTGTCCCAGAGCCCCAAACTTGGTTTTGGCCCATATGTTAACCCTAGCATGTGGGAAGTGGCTAGTACAAGAGAACTGTGGGGGCAGATCCCCATAACTGAGGGCTCAGTGGAAAGGTGGTGTCCTGGGTGAGCAGGTTCACCTTCAAGGCAGGATATGAGCCCACCATGTACCCTCTTCTCCTGGCTCCCTCATCCCATGAAAGGGGCATGATTTGTACTCTAGTTGTGCCCACTTTTGCTCTCTCTCAAAAACCTGTTCCTGTAACTAAGTACAGGCAATGTAGCTTGGGGCCACGCACATCCAAAACATCTAGAATATTGATTCAAGATGCTGAGTCTTGGGGCACTCCCTAGTTCAGAGTCAGAAAGTGATTCACTCACTAAAGTTGAAGAAGTTCTAATGTGGAATTTGGACTGTTTATCCTCATGACTTCTTACTTAGTTTGTTTTTCTTTCCTTTGGGGCATTCAGTCAGTACCTCGTCACTTTCTGATATTTCTAGTTCTCAGTCAAATTCAACAAGAAGTGAAAATTACTACACTTTTCATCAAGCTGTGATGTGACCAGGACAGAAATGGGAGAAGGGAATTCTCAGAACAGGAGACGTTCAGTTTCTCCTGTGGGTCGTGATAGAATTAAATAGCAAGATTCCTTATGTGTCTACTGGTATGTTTTCAATAATGAAAAAAATATCTTGTCAACTATGGTGAAAGCTCATAACATCTTCATTTTCAGTTATAGGCAAATATTTCCAAATACATGTCAGTGTTTTCTTAAAACGCCTTTATTAGAACTAGGTTTAGAACTTGAAGTAGAATTGGGCATGGGCTATGTTTGCAAATGAGCATGTCTGGCACACGAGTTCTCTCCCCACCCCGAAAAAAAATTTGAATTAGATGCTGATATTTGAGAATCAGGGTATTTCACATTTTTAAGTTACAAATTTTTGTATTCTATTTAAAATTTTTCACAATACCTTATACTGGGCCACAGCCTCACAGTGCAGTGACCGGGAGTGCAGCGGCCGCTCTTGGGAACAGACAATGCCACACCGACGATGTTGGTGAATTCTTTAGTGCTCCACCTGCCGAGAGGCGGGGTCTGGGTGCCCCCCTCCCCTGGGACCTGGGGGGCCTAGGGACTTCTCTGACCGGGAAAATGCAGCCGGGATAATGCATGTGAGTGCTGGGGCCCAGGCTTCAGGAACCGGCCGCAGCCACTTTCTGTCTCTCGGGACCCCTGCCCAGGGGAATAAACCACCCTATGCTAAGTGTGACTGCTCCGAGACCACCGTGCAGGGAGGAGCCCAAGCCTCATCATGAAGTCCTAGAAGAGAGGCACCACGTGGAGAGAAAGACACAAGGTCAAGGAGCACCAAGGCACCAGACACGTGACCGAGGAAGCCGTCTCGAAAATGGAGCCTCCATCCCCACGAGGGGACACGTGGATCAGAGATGAACCACCCAGCTGAGCCCCTCATGATTCCTAAGCAACAAAAGCATAAGCGTGATAAAAACCCTTGCTGGGAGCCTCAGCCGTGGAGTCGATAACTGAGACCAGAGTGTGCGTCTCCGGTTCACGCTAGCCCCCTCTCTCTCCCCTGGCTTTTTACCTGAATTATTTTACATCTAGGCTCCTGTACGAATTTGGGTTTGCAGTTCTTATTTAAACCAAGGCCTGGTGAACCTTGAATTATGTGAAATTTGGCAATTAAAATATTAAAAATAAATATATGTATTTATGACAAGATTAGGTTGTGAGGGTTGGAGGGTTACAGAGAGCGCTGGAAATTTTTTTTAAAATTGTATTTATTTATTTTAGAGAGATGGGAAGGGAGGAAGAAAGAGAAGGAGTGAAACATCAATGTGCAGTTGCCTCTAGCACACCCCATACTGGGGATGTGACCTGCAACGCAGGCATGTGCCCTGACTGGGAATCAAACCAGCGATGCTTTGGTTCGCAAGCCTGTGCTCAATCCAGAGCTACACCAGCCAGGGCCTGGAAATTTCTACTTGAAGTATTTTTTTCCATGGACCACCTTGCTGGAGGTGAAAAGTGTACAAGTTCAAGGATTGGTCAGCTCTTTCTGAGCACTGGCTTTCTCATGTATAAAAGCAGGTCCCATTCATCTTCGACCTTGGTTGAGTCTGTGAGCAAGAGAGCTCGGCTTTGGTATGATTTATTTCGAGTGTGTATTGTGTACCTTGTAAAGTATTAGAAAGTACATTTATTCCACGGCAAGCCAGCCTGTGGGGCAAGAGAAAATGTCTAATTCTTTGTTGAAGCCTGTGCCTTTCTCATCTGCTACCTCTAGCTCCCAGTAAATATTTGTTGAATAAATGAATGAACAAATGAATGTGTGTTAGTCACCGAGGGTACAAAGAAAGACAGATGAGACATGGGATCTGCCCCTTGAGGAGCTCACAGTCTATCGAACACAGGCAGCAAATTAAATACTGGTTCTGCCTCCTGGGTAGCACATTCTTTTATTCAGAAACACCATTTTATCTGTGTCTGGCCGCTGTTCACATCCACCCCCAGATGAAATGACGTGCTGCAGGAGAACATGCCCTGGAGGAGCCCAGGACGGGGCAGAGGACTGCCAACCACCTATCCCGATGAGGCAGCCTTCTCATGCTGTGGCTAAGTCACGAGGAGGAGGAGGAGGGAGGGAGAAGCGCCCCAGTCAGAGCTACAGGAGCCGGGGTGCAGTTCCTCAGAGGCCCCCTCAGGGACCCATCAGAAAAGCAAGACGGCAGTCACTGACACATCGTTCCATCAGCCCGTGGTTGCTCCGACTGCGGAAAGGCAGCGAGGCAGCTCCAGCAGCACCAGCCCTCAAAGCTGCAGCCGGTGCTGAGAGAGGCAGGGCCCACAGCAGAATTCGGTTTTGTTTATTAAGAGATGTGAAGAAGCCCCTGCTTTTAGTCAGCCTGCCCCATATGGGCTTACAGAATGATCTTTTTTCCTTCCCAAGTGCGTTTGGCAAAGTGTCTTCTCCCCCTTTCTTACTTTATAAGTGAGGCCTTTGTGAGGCTGGACAGAGGAAGCAGACTTTTGTTTGATACTGAAGATAAGTAGCTTCTTGTTCTTTATTCTCCCAGTGAGATTCTCAGTGTCAATGTATGACACGATCAACATCGTACAGAGTGTCGATGCAAATGCATTCGGGTTTGGAAAGATTTCTTTTTGTTTGTTAAACAGCAAGACCAGGATGAGGTCAGAGGATGGGTAGAAAGCCAGGCTGGGTTCTCTAGTCAATTTCCGAGCCGTAGGCTGTGTCCTTGGGCGGGGAAGCTGAGCCCTGCAGGTGGAAACGACGTCCTGTCTGCAAAGCAGAACTGCTCAAATAGTGAAACCAAAAGTTAATTTGCTGTGTTTGTCCAATAGATTCTGAGCTCCTTCAAGATGGAATCCTACAAGAAAGGGCAGAACACAAGAACAATGGTGACCAGATTTGTCTCTTCCCCGAGTGAGGAATATTGCACAGTAGAGAGGGGCTTCTTAGATTGGGAAGGTTTCTCTCCCTCCAGCCATGGCTGTGCCTTCTGTGCCCCCAGGAAGCTCTGGCCCCACCGCTGACACCGGCTTTCCACAGTCCACAGGAGAAGATATCTTTAAAGAAGATCTAGACCCAAACTCCAGCCTCCATGAAGAATAAAGTAAACTGAGATTCTCAACACCACACTTTTCAGAAGTTGGGTCTAGCAGACAGAAATTTAGAATAATTTTCAGATATGTGAAAAATGATGAAGACCAACATTTTGTCATTCCAAAACAAGCAAGAATTAAAAGGAGGCTTGAATGATGAACGATATAATTCAGATTAGACTTCGGAAGGACTTCCTAACAGGCAGAGAAATCTATTTTTTTTTTCATTTTGGAATTTTTCCTGCAGTTCTCAAATGCAAAGTGTCATCTCTCTATGTAAAATAAGCACAGTTATTTCAAATAGCAAAACCTAGGCTTTATCTTTCCATCAGTTTTTCATGCAACAAAAATGGAGAGTGCACGTAGCCTATGCCAGGCGCGGTGCCGTGGTCCAGGGTCACAGAGGGAACAGACACAGGCCAGCTCCCCCTGGAGCTCACTGACTGATGCTTTGTGCCCCGTACCAAGTTGGTGAATACACATGTAAATGAAGATATATAAAATAAATAAGTTCTAATACAATGAATTAGCACAAAGAGCTGCTCCTTTACCGTGTTTATACTTCCAACTATGGGCAAAGTAAGAGAGCGTTTTGCAGAAGAGCTGACATTTAGGCAACGTCTTGAAAGATGAGTACTGGTCTGCAGGGCAGGCATGAAGGTATGGCACACACACGTGTCTGTGAGAGGCAGGGAGCTGGGCTGTGTGGATGTTGCGAACAGTGTGATGGGGGTAGAGGTTACTTAGGAGGAAAGGTGGAGAGGGCCAATGACCAGAGAAGAGTTGAGTACATAGTCCCCAGTTCTTTAGAGTGTCTCTTGAGATGCTAGTGACTCCAGTGCTTTATTCACTCTAAGTCAAGTCCTACAGGAGTAGAGCCATCCTGAAAATAAGACATCCCTTGGTTGGCCCTCATTTGTAAATTTGTGAGAGTCATTGCTTGTTTGCTCCTGTGAGTGAGGCCGCTCTTCAGGCTGGGAATACTTGCCATCCACGTCAGGTGTGTGTGCATACCCCTTCTTCCAATAGGACACACTTGGAATCACGATACAGAAAGCCGGACGGCTTGGACTTTGTGTAGGAGGTAGGTGAGGGGAGAGCACGGGACAGCGAGGACTTGGATGAGGCTGGAGCCCCAGAGCACGGCCTTTGCCCGAGAGCCCTTGTCGACGTAGTTTGTTGTGTAAAGATCTCACCTGTGCATAGGGGCAGGGTGAGCTCAGAAGCTGGGGAAGAAGCTTCTGGTCAACACTGCCTCTTAGATCCTAGGATCTACTCCACCAAGAAGAGAGGTGCAGCGAGGGAAGCAGGGGCTGGGAGCTGAAGCGAATCAGCTCAGAGAAGCCCTCCATGCGTAACAGTCTGTTGCGTACCTTCTGTTCCTCAGGCACTGTGCTAACGCTGGAAGGCAAACACCACCCATTCCCTGCCAGCCAGCGTCCCAGGTCTTCTCCTGAAGTAGGCATTTCCTTTGCGAGACAGACTGCTGAGCGGGTACAAGATAACCTGAGACAGCGAAGGGGCTGGGGAGGGAGTGCTTTACCATAGAAGGGACCCTTAACTCCCCCAGTATGGTAAAGCATCCCAGGCATGGCAGCAAATTTTAAGAAATGACTTGCTCAGGTGGCTGGAGTCTGAGGTTCATGCTGGGGCAGTTTGGACGGCTGAGACCGGAGGGTAGACGCAGGCGGGCGGTGCTGTGGGGCTGAAAGGCCTCTGCACACACATGCCCAGCAGCCGCCCAAGGGCGCTCTCGTGCGGGTGCCATGGGAACACAGAGAACACCAGGGAAGTGACCGCTGTAAAAAGCACATGGTGTTGTGACTAAGCCCTCGAACCCCGCCTGTGCATCCTCTCTGGGGAAATGAGTCGCGTTAGAGAAACAAGTGGCAGAATCACAGCACACGCCCATCTCCACCACGGTAGCCATGCCAGTCATTTCTAGTTTTAACAAGTGGCTTCATGATCAGTGTTCATCGGATGATCGAAGAGGAATTTTAGGTTTACGTTTCGCTTTCAATCACATAAGCCATATGTAATCATTGCCAGAAAATTTTGTAAAAAGTTATGCAAAAATAAGTCAAGTTACTCCAAACTCGCTATGCTGAAATGACTGTCAACATTTTGGTGCCTACACTTTCAGACTCATCACTGTGTGCATTTACAGAAACTGATTGTTTTGTTATTTCTTCTGTCCTCTTACTTTACATTTGACTTTCCAATAGTTTTTATTTCCTGTGTCCCCCACCAACCTCCTTTTTTTTCTAATTTTGTTTTATGACGTGAGGTTTTCTTTGCTTCCTTCCCTCCTCCCCATGCCATTCCAGGCATTCAGAAAACATGGCATTTGTTTAAGTTTCCTCCAGCAGTTACTACCCAATCATTAAATAACACTGATGCATGTTCAAAACCTGGGACCCAAACCGAAGTTCCTCAAATTATTAATATCAAATTATTAATATGGAAAATGAAACAGTAGCTATTGACGCAGCCCTGTGAACAAATGAAAAACGGCCACCCCCGCTTCCTCCCGCACAGGGGCCCCTCCCACCCCTCCCAGGGCTCGCTATTCTACTTTGGGAAGTTCCTCCCAGTGTGTAATAGCTACATTGTTGATTCGTATATAATTGGACCTCTTGTTTCAAGCATGATATCATTTATATTTTTCTTAGAAACAACGCTATTTAACAATGTTTGCATTCCTCAAATTCCAGATTGTTGGTTCATCCCCATTACCAGAGAGCACATAAACCTCTTCTCGTTGCCCTCACTCACTACGCATTGCTTGGGCAGATAACGGACTTTGGAGATCACAGCACAACCATTCTCCCCGACAACCCCAAGGACACAGTCCACTGACATCATTTCCTTTTCTGTGGGATCCGTTGCTTCTTCCTGGATTTGAAGGGAGCTGCTTTTTTTAAGATGTAATATTCAGTAGATCTAAAGTGGGTGTCCGTTTCCACAGAGTTCAGAGTAAAGCCTTTTAAACTAGAGAGATTTTTGTATCAAGGAGATTTTCTTCAATATGTATTTTTGAAATCGGTTCTGTTGCACTGGCTTCGATTGCAGACTGTTCATGTTTTCAGTTCACCTTTTTCTCTTTGATTACTTTCAATTGCCTTTTTTTTTCCTTCCTTTGAATGCTCAGTGAGTGTCTCAAGTTTGCACTCACCTTAATAGTTTCTAAACCAGATTGATTTTTAAAATCATGTCAGGGAATTTCTGGAAATACAAATTTCTTAGCTTTCACCCGAGATCCACTGAATCAAAATCCCCTGTATTCAACCCTAGTAATATGTTATATATATATATATATATATATATATATATATATATATATATATATATATATATATATATATATATGTTAAGCATACTCCTGCCCACATCCCATATCTGATGGCCATCTAGGTTTGAGAACCACTGTCCTGTTCCAATGGTCTAATTCCATTTTATATACAGGCGATTTTCCTCTTTACTGTCTTTCATGCAGTTTTAAATTCTGCAATGGAATTATTTGCTGGCTTGTATTCTTTTCATAAAATCCCTTTTTATCTGTCCATTGCCTCATTACCTCTCTTTTAGCAAGTTTGTATTTTGAGTAATTACCTTGAGAATACCAAGTAGTGCCTCTCTTAAACTTTTGTTTTTCTCATGTGGCAAATCTTTCCCAAACTATACTATTTATTTACTCTTTTGCATATTACGCTTATTTCCTTGTGCTTATAATTTGTGTTGAGGAACTCTTTTTATTCCATGTTGGGGGCCTATTTGAGAACCCGTTCTTTTAGTGGGGTTTTAGGAGACTTCCCTTCATTCCCGGGCACTCTTTTTTTATTGAATTTATTGGAGTGACATTGGTTAATAAAGTTGTATAGGTTTCAGGTGTACAGTTCTATAAACTACATCATCTGTATGGTGTATTGTGTGTTCACCACCCCGTTCCATCACTATTTATCCCCCTTCACCCTCTGCTACCTCTCCCCACCCCCTTTTTCCCCTGGCAGTCACCACATTGTTGTCTGGGTCTATGATTTTTTTTTTCCCTGCTCAATCCCTTCATCCTTTTCACCCAGCCCCACCCCAAACCATCCCTTCTCCCCTCTGACAGCTGTCAGTCTGTTCTCTGTATATTTACCATAGCGGAGGTTTGGAAGCAGCCCAGGTGTCTATCAGTACATGAGTGGATTAAAAAGCTGCAGTACCTTTGCACAATGGGTACTACTCACTCCCCACCCTGCCAAAAAAGAAGAAGGAAATCTTACAGGGCACTCAAGTTGAGGGCTGGGTGATGTGCGTTTACCTAATACGTTTGTCAGCAGCCGGAGGAGCACGGAGAAGAGCCAGTCTCGTGAGCAGAAGCAGCAGCAGAGCCCTGCCCTGCACAGCATCTTCCATGCATCTGGGAACTCCTGCATTACGACTTGTTCCTCCGCTTCTTGGGTGCACTTCACCCTGTCCACCATTCCGTGCGCCTCGAGCGACCTCCTCTAGGATCACGTGTGAAATGTCTGTCCATGAGAGGAGGGTAGGACTTACATGAGCTGCAAGTCCTACACTCACTTACATGAGTGTCCTGTCTAGTTCCAGAATGCTTGTCCTTTTGTTTTTTAGGAACTGTCACACCTTGGTGGCAATGGGTTGGAGAAAAGTTCTGTGTGGTTGGCCAGTGTGCTATTCTTTCCCACATGACATAATCCACGTTGCTCCTTATTGGCGAGTCCCTCTGCCTCCTATCAACTGTACTTGCTCTCAGATCTCAGCCTTGCACAGAAAGAACCTCTCCCCCCGATGTTGGAGTTAAGTCCACAAAAAAGGCAAATAATAGCCCAGAACTGGAAATAAGCCCATTGTCCGTGCACAGTTCTGGTTAATAAGTTGTGCAGTATCTGAACAGTGGAATGCAAACCCTAACAGCCATGTGCATCGAGATGGACAAGCATCAGAAACAGAGTTGATCAAGAGTCAAATGGAAGACACCAAACAATTGTGCTCCACTCTCAAGATGAGGAGTTGTATGTTCCTCTCAATTTGAGGCCGTCTGCATGGTATCAGATGCAGGCTTCTATTGCTTATAAAATGGCTTTGTTAGGCGACCTGGTTTGGCCCTGAGGAGAGGTTATTCCCTATTCCTGCTTCTGTTTGGATTTCTGAAAGCAAAAAGGTGGGAAGCTTGCTTTCCTGTGAGACTTCTCTCAGAAACAGATAATGAGTAGATAGAGCTACACACAGGCAGCATTACTCGTAGTGTAGCCATGAACAGTGTGGAGCATCATTTTCAAGCAGCACTGTGTGAACATTTTGTTCGTAGGTAGGGTGGCTGCTCACAGATGAGGGCAGCCAACCTCGGTGAGCCCAACTGACTTCTTTCTCTTGTTGTCCAGCAGAAAAGCTGAATTCAAATATGGTCCCGAGTGGGCCCAATGTCCACTGTACCACAGTGGAAAGACACATTCATTCGTTCAACAAGTATTTATT